GTTCACTACGGGGTCGTTTTTCTTATTTTCTGTGTAAACCGCGTCTTGTGATGTGTGTTCCCTTCTTAGCTGCGAGTGTTGTAATGTTGGATGTGTGTGTCCACACACAAGAATGTAATAATTATTTGTAGTTACAAACTGTATGTTGTTAATAAATTCAATTACCACTCTAAACCCACTTCTTTAGTCACTGTGACAGGTGGCACTATTTTTGGGTTATTCTGTATAATACCTAATTCCCTCACTGTCTGCATCTTCATTTACAAAGCCATAAAAAGAGAGGATCTCGTGAGGTTAGACCTGGTGCAGTTATCATCATCGGATGTTGCATAGTCAGAACAGCTTCCTCACTTCATTCACACCATTTGCTCAACAGGTTCTACGTGGTAGAGTCATTAAGTTCGTGGAATGTGCTCTTATTGCATCATGTTACAAGGTATTCATATACACTTACGCAGATCCACATCGGCCCTCAAAATAGTGCCGTTGGCTGCTATGCAGGTCTGCCAACATTGATATAGCTGCCGAAAACATTGCTGAAACATATTGGCAGTAAATTCCCGTAAAACGCTCTGCGGCCATTCCACGAACTTATTGACTGTGGTAGTATAATATGATGTAGCCTACAATATGACATGCGTGATAAAATATCCATTAATATTTGCATTCCAAAGATTTACGACTTGTAAATATCCAGTAAATCAAATTACCCATCACCCAAACACGGGGCAATATGATTCCAGACACAGTAGGTAAATATCGGACATTGTCAAAATGTACAGAAAGACCGTTAAAATAAAGTTGTTGGAACTATTACAGATAAGATAACCTGGAAATCATTTATATCTGCGGCATTTCGCACTTAAATCACTCCGTGGAGCAGTCTTCTTTAAGAAGCTAACAGTACTGCAATTAATCAGGAAATCTTCCAAGTTTTTGGAGACCCCAAAGGTCATCGTTATGTTTAAAAGAGCTCACCGCTGGTCGTTATCTTAAGTCAAATTAATTCAATCCACAACCACCTGACCCTTTCTTTAAGATTAATTTTTTGTATTTTGTTCTCCAACTTACTTCTGTCTTCTACGTGGAAGAGCATATTTGAGTACAAATAAGAAAAAAAGAAATTAAATAATTAACTGGATCCAAATTTTAATTTCTTCCTCAAAAAAATTGTATCAGCAATAAACGAACATTAGGATCAAAAACGTAAATAGTCATAAAGAAGCATTCTGCGAATTTTTACTCCAAACTGGTTCACAGCTGACACTCATGTTTAAATTTCCCGGAAGTCAGTAAACCTGGTTCAAAAGATTCTTCAAAAATGATCCCCAGGCAATTTCTTGTACGTGTCTCAATTCAGTATTCATTAATCATCCAAATATTCGAGGCCATATTTTCCGAGTTACTGAGAGTGTCTTTAAATAAGCCATGAATAAATAAATGAATATAAGCAGTGGGTGTTGGGCATCAAAGTAAAACGAGAACGCTTTGATCCAGTGCAGTTTAAACTTTTATATAATTTCAATAGTACCCTTGTGTGTAAACTGTCGAGAAACTAAGATGAATTCACGAGCTTCAGTATAGAATAAAATTTGACGCTGTTTATCCTCTGTCATTTTGTACATGAATAGAGGTAAAGCTATCCCTGTAACAGGCCGTGAAGGCCCATGGGTTTGTGAGACGTCGAGGCTCCCACATCTAGACAATCAGGTCACAGACGGCAGTAAAGTTGTCAGCCTTACGCCCCGGCCGCCCTTTACTCCAAGGAAGATTCCTGGTACTCATTTCTGTTAGCGGCTGAGTCGACCACAGGGCCATAGTGCGGCTGGAAGCATTAAGTCCATTGAAAAATTGAATGAGCTCATCGGGAATCGAACCCTCAACCTTCCGGCTTGTAGCATAGTGCCACAACCAACTACACTATCACGTATCCCCTTGCACATAAATACCTGGCACTAGTGAATTTTCAAAACAAAATCCACAAGATTAACATAATAGTTAGGCCGAGCCATAACTCAAGAGGTTAGTCGCTGGTTTCCCACCGCGGCGGCCCGGGTTCGATCCCGGGTCTGGTCAAGAGGGATTTGTGGTGTACAAAGTGGCGCTGGGGCAGGTTTTCTCCGAGTACTTTGGTTTCCCCTGCCAATCTTCGTTCCACCAATTGCTCCACAATCACCCTTACCTATCATCTGAGGCTTGTAAAATAGGCCAGAAGTGGCCGCAGTACAAGGGACTTAGTTCCACCCACTAGCAATAAAAAAACATAATAGTCATACCACGTTCCGACTTAGTGTTACCTGTCTAAATATCTACCAGGGTACGTGTACATCATAACTTCAGCAGGCAACCTTAAAATGAAGAATCCTCTTTGTTCCAAAGGACCTCTACCATGGTTATTTCGGCTCCCATTTATGTTGAGAGCAGAATATACTAGTAACGTGTCAATGCTGACGAAACCTGAAACTTATTTTATACAGCATAAATGCGGCGCGCGCACACTCTTGTATCATTCAGTCATTCGTTCGTCAACGGCACTACAGCCGTTTCTTGGGCCCTGGCCTCCTCTTCAGTTTCGAAATCTTTTTTACTTAGGCGGTAGGGCTCCTTAGATGAGTAATCAACCCGTCGCAAGGCCGCTACCTACACAGAGGACAACACAAACACAGAATAAACGCGCACACAGACATCCATGCATTTGACTGGGATTAGAACCTGCAATCCCAGCGTTCAAGCTGGGCCACTGTGATCAGCACACTCTTGTACTACTGGTTCGGATATCCCTTGGATCATGGATGTCGTTGTGTTCTACTGCTTTATCATATAAAGATGGGGACATTGCAGCGGGCCGGTACGTCACCACAGCAGGCCGATCGCTGTATAAATTAATGATTCGCAATGGCTCTGTCAGTACTGGAGGTCAAGACTTATAAGGAATTTCGCCGTAAAGGAAAAAAAAAAGAGTACCATCGTGTACTGTTAATACTACTTAGGAAGGAACGAAATTTCATACAACGACCGTTATTATAGGCAATGCTTGCTTTAATATTAAATAATCCAGAATTTTGCTAATACAGTTGTTTAGTGCTTATATCGTAATTATATCATTCGCTGAAGTCTCAGTAAAAGGATATATGAAAAAATTACTGTGGCATATTTGTTCAAGGCAACAACTATGAAGGCAGCTGAGAATATTAGTATGAACCTCAAGGAACAAACCGCGGGCTGAATTCAACGAATACAATATACAACTTCACTTCCTAGCACCGTCAATGTTGAAAACACAACAATGCTGATGCCCTTTCCAGACTACCAATCCAAAACCCGTCTACAGTCACTCTATCACGTGATAATATGGGATATATTCAGATATACAGTGTTGTTTTAACTTGTATCTATACAAAGAGTAATCATACGAGAGAATATTTTAATAATGAATTATATATACTAATAAAATATAATAAAAATAGTAATAAAATTACATTTTCTCATACCAGCGAAATTACGATATACGAGTATTATCTGAAATGTTTCAACTGAACAGTACACTCGCATTTATAGCCCTCTGAATGAGGGGGCTGGTGCAGACGCACTCGTATGGTGTTTTCTGGTAGAACAAAGAGCACTGGCAGGAAAGCAACAATGATCCTGTGTAAGATTTGAGGCTTTCACGGCGGTGACTATGAAGACAGTCTGCTTTTACCGGTTCTCACGGTCTCTTTGCTTGCAGATTTCTTACATATTTTTTCTTCTACCCTGAAGATGGAGGCGATACGTTCCTCCGAAACGTCGGTTAACACCACATATACACGGTGCCAAATCCCAGAAGACTGCTTTCTTCAACAATGATCCTGTGAGAATGTTTTTATCGTGTTGCCTGTAATTTAAATCTTCTTTTACTGCTACAAAAACAACTGACCTCAGTGTTCGTCTTAAGCAATATCATTTTAAATTTTTAAAATTTAAAATCCAAAATTTTTCAAAATTTAAAATTATTTAAAATTCTCTTGTCGTTGAATGTAAAATTCTGTGTTGTTTTTGTCCCGCATTGTAGGTTACCCTTCGCACGGGGTTTCCTGTTATACTGTAAGATATANTTATTATTATTATTATTATTATTATTATTATTAAACTTTCCAAAGGTCCATTGTCTGATTTAAAGTTTAACGTTTAGCTACCCATGCAGAGAAACTCTGTTCAACTTCCCCTGCATAATTCCTTTCATTTCTTAACTGTTGGCGGAGAAGGAACCAGTCTCATAAATATAGTGATTTTTATAACTGTAAATCAGACAGTTGCTGTAGCCCAAAAAGGTGCCATAATAACAAGGAATGTAACATTTATTAACAGAAGGCAGTGTCTTATGTAATATTAACACACACAGTCTATTGTCATATGACTAAAAATGCCGGCATTTTAGTTGACGTCCGAACTTTTACAATAAAAAACCTAATAATAAATATCATATTATTTTAATATTCGTGAAATTCTATAATGCCAACTGCAGCATTAGTTTCTACTGCTCAAATATACATTTTAATAACCTGCACCTTTCCTATATAGAATAATGTTCCCCTGAAAATTAAATGACATCTTCAATACCGATGTTCTTATGTTGCTACTTAGAAGCAGCTTCGCTGATGACAGTAAATAAGGCAAACGTTCTAAATACTGGAAAAGATTCGCTAATTCTGCTTGGTAAAAATTTAGGACCTCGCTCTTTCTGTTTCAAATTCGCGTTTGATATTAATATTCAAATTATGCACAACACTTTTAAGGTATTACAGTTCTAATGTTGTTTACAGAGTGCATAAGGCCTTGTTTGGTATTAAACCGAAATTTTCAGTTCCTTTCTCCGGCGTTATGAATTTATACTTCTGGCTGTTTTATAAAAAAAATGCATCGGTTGTCGAAGAAGGTAACGCTAGTAAGAATGACAGTTCAACATTCGTTGATCTTGTGGAAACGTACAATAGCGTTCCGGCAAGTAATTGTGTTCCTACCTTGTGAAGAGTTGGACTCGAAGCAAGTTACAGCGAAGAAGGAGGCGTAGCTGACAACCCGAACCGGAGCTGAGACCTGTCTTGGCTCCTGATGACGGCACTACTCAGAGAGGGAGCTTGCTTCTACAGGACGGGAGAGACGCAAAGCGGGCCCACTTTGACCGGCGTACTTTCTCCGCACACTGAGCATGCGCCCGGATCTACTTCGGCACACCAGAGTAAATATGAAGAATTAATCACATCTTCTAAGCCTTCTAAGCAAAACAAGACACTTATTTTATTTCCGACATGAGAGATATAGGAGATAAAATGTAATAGAGAAATTAAAGTTAAAAACTTGTCACCCTGACATCTTGCAATAATAATTATTGTGTGTATCATACAGTGAATCCCAATAGATCACTGTGCTCGCGGTGCAAGGGCCAAGAAGGCCCACCCCTTGTACATTCATACTCGTACAGTGAATCCCAATAGATCACTGTGCTCGCGGTGCAAGGGCCAAGGAGGCCCATCCCTTGCACATTCATACAATGAATCTCAATAGATCACTGTGGTCGCGGTGCAAGGGCCAACGAGGCCCACCCCTTGTACATTCATACAATGAATCCCAATAGATCACTGTGCTCGCGGTGCAAGGGCCAAGGAGGCCCACTCCTTGTACATTCATACTCGTACAGTGAATACCAATAGATCACTGTGGTCGCGGTGCAAGGGCCAAGAAGGCCCACCCCTTGTACATTCATACTCGTAGAGTGAATCCCAATAGATCACTGTGCTCGCGGTGCAAGGGCCAAGGAGGCCCACTCCTTGTACATTCATACTCGTACAGTGAATCCCAATAGATCACTGTGCTCGCGGTGCAAGGGCCAAGAAGGCCCACCCCTTGTACATTCATACTCGTACAGTGAATCCCAATAGATCACTGTGCTCGCGGTGCAAGGGCCAAGGAGGCCCACCCCTTGTACATTCATACAGTGAATCTCAATAGATCACTATGGTCACGGTGCAAGGGCCAAGGAGGCCCACCCCTTGTACATTCATACAGTGAATCTCAATAGATCACTATGGTCACGGTGCAAGGGCCAAGGAGGCCCACCCCTTGTACATTCATACAGTGAATCTCAAGTGACTTGGAGAGGGGGAGAAGATAAAGAGCAAGAAGAAGCAGTAAGTCGTTATGAAGGCGAATTCATACAACCTGTAAATGGAAGGAAGAGGAAATTAACCACTTAACTTAACACAATATGTTTCAACCATAGATGGACATCTTCAGGTATCTTAATGGAACCAAACTGTTACACTACTCTGATGTGCGCTAAAACGGCGCGTTGCAGTCCACTTAAAAATGAAGTAAATAATGAACTAAAACCCATCAAATTTTCTATCATTCCAATTAAATAAAAATTTGAAATTAATTAATTGAATAATTAAAATCTATAGAATTATTTAATAATTTTTAATTAAATTCAAATTTTAAATTAAATTGAATTAAATTATTTACGTTATTTTTAAGTTGACTGCAACGCTCGGTTTTAGCGCACATCAGAGTAGTGTAACAGTTTGGTTGCATTAAGATACTGAAGATGTCCATCTATGGTCGAAACATGTTCTGTTAAGTGTTAAATGGTGCATAAATAATTGTTGCATTATAGACGGACTGTGAATAAACAGACGTTTAAGTAAGATGTACATTGAACACGTTAACATATTAATATTGTGACATGACGCCTGAAAGCCAGAATAGTCCATTCCTAGAAAAAGGCTCCCTAAAGCGCGTATCTGCGGCAATGGATACGCTTGTAGAAATCAAAACGTTGCTGCGATATTGATATACTTTTCGTAGCAACGGATTTGCTTAGCGGGGGTGGAGTCCAACTGGGTCCACTTGGCACGGCGGCCACTGATTGGCCTATTGTAGCCTGCCCCGTGTGATTATGATGATGGAGAATTTACTGGAATGAAGATTGGCAGGAGAAACCGAAGTACTCAGAGAAAGGCCGCCCCAGCGCAACTCTGTCCACCACAAATCCCACTTGACGAGACCCGGGATCGAACCCTGGCCGCCGCGGTGGGAAGCCAGGCACTAACCACCTGAGCTATGGCGCAGCCTAATTAGCAATATTGTAACAAATTTGATCAAAACTTTGCAAGGCCACCCATGAGTAAACACTTCCAAATACTACGTAACAGTATAGGGGAAACTGTTTTCTATGAGGTCTGCGCCAAGCAGCAGTAGAAAAACGGGATTATGTAATTCGTTTCTAGGTAAAAGTATTTCCGCATATCGGACCGTGTTATACAACGCGATGACGTCATCGACAACAGAAGTGTGTTTTCTATGCGGTCCGTGCCGCGGCTATATAACGAGAGCTGTGAGCTGTAAGTTCGNCAGCATATACAAAAGGCAGACCCGTCCTCTCGTCAGAGAGGGCGCCCCACAGAAACAAGACCGTAAATGTCAAACACTAATAAATATCTGGTCATGAGCCCCAGCCGGGGCTCGACACCAAGACTTACTGACTGGCAGACCGTCAGTCGCAATGTGACTTGGACTTGGACTTGGTAAGTTGAGAGTGAATTGGAACTAGGAGTACAAAGTGACCGAAGACAAGAAGACTTTATAGTGACTTGAAATAATACTTTCTGTGTTGAGATCCGTTGCCAGGAGGCGACTAATGAAGACGGAGAATCCTAGTGCGTTTGCAACGGTGAACTGGAAAGTGCATAAATCAGCGACAGCTCTGTATTTAAATGTGAGTAAGAGAACTTGTAACTAAGGTGCTAATAAATTCAGTCGTCCGAAATAGAACCCGTTACCCTCTTACACGGGACAATATCAATGTGAAATTCTCATAATGCAGTGGAGATGGCAATTTTAAGTGCGTTAGCAGTGGAATCTATATAAATAAAAATGTAATTGTACTCAATACTAATATACTGTAACGTGTTATACGTCGTCCATCAAATACCAACAGATCGTTGCCTAGGAATAACCGTGGCAACGAACTGTTGAAAAAGCGGAAATAATGCATTTCTGCGGCAACGAGCACAGGACACGTGAAATCGAACACTGGACGAAAGTGCCCTCTATTGCGTCCGAAACCAGGTTATAATAGTCCAGCTCCGAAGAATTTTTTCGGTGATACTGGACGTGATAATAATTGCACTCGCTGGTGTAAAAGTGAGCGTTCAATAACTTATTCGATGAATCCGAGACGTACGTGGAAGTTATTTGTCGCACTGAATAGGAGACACGTGACCACAACGTTACATAGGTAACACGCGACATATTCTTATGATCAACTAGCTGTACCCGGCCACGCCTTGCTGTGGCTCAGTCTGCCCGTTCTTCCCCACTTTGATTTGAAATTACTCAATGCAATGCTTCCGCTCCGCGAGTACCACGACCTAAGTTTGATCTTCTGCGAGGCATTATTTGGATCAACTAAAGCAGGACGATTGCACCGAAGAAGAAGAAGAAGAAAGAAAGAAAGAAAGTTATAAGAAAAAAACATGAAATTGCAAAACATTAAAAAAGGAAAGAACACGAACTGGAAAACAAAGAAGAAACAAAAAAAAAATAAAAAATACTGACGAAATATTTGAATTCAAAAGCAGATCAATCGAAACAGCCTAATCTGACCGCCAATTGCACCGGAAAATAAGGAAAACTGTTAAGAAAACGAAATGAAAAACAACAAAAATAAATTATACTCACGAAATGAACGCTACGGTAAACGACTCAGCCCAATTCCAACGCAATGTAACACGAAATAATAAAATCAAAATGAAAATTTCGTTGCCACAACAGTTCGTTGCCGCGGTTATTCCTAGGCAGCGATCCGCTGTTTCAACAGTTCGTTGCCACGGTTATTCCTAGGCAACAATTTGTTGGTATTCGATGGACGACGTATAACACGTTACAGTATATTATATTGAATACAATTAATACTGTTACCTGTTTTTACCTTTCACGGGTGTGACATCTATATAATAGGTATATGAAAGCACGCATGTGTTCGAATGCAACGTTGTGTCAAAATTTCAAGGCAATCGGTGACAAACTTTCGGAGATCTTCAATAAGACACAAAACAACATTTACGTTTTTATTTATATAGAAGTACACGTAAATAATGCAACAATTTAAAAGACATCAAGAATATGTCACTCACTAAAAATGTATTTTAATACTTTATGATGCTAAAATCATTAAAAATATCAATCTATCTATATAAATAAAAATGTAAATGTTCATAAAATCAATACAAAGTCAGTCGAGTGTATTGTATTGATTTTATGTATAATAGTGTAACGGACCAAAATGAAACAATTAAAAAAAATGTAAATGTTCGTTTGTTCAAGATCTTAAATCCCCGAAAGTTCTTCGCCGATTGCTTTGAAATTTTGACATAACGTTGCATTCGAATACGCGCGTGTCGCATCTGTGACAGGTAAAAACATGTCACATGTTCGGAATTTTTTAAAATTTTAATTTAAAAACTATAGCCAATAAATTAAAATACGACTACAGCCTATACACACTACGAGTAAATATACGGATCCTCACGCGCCGAAGCCTGGCGAGCAACTGAAGTAGTGTGGACGAAGTTTTAAGGGCGCAAGCAAAAGCCAGACGAGTCTCCCGACGAGCACAAGCCTGGCGAGCACGAGTATGAGCACGAGCAATGTGGACGCGCCTTAAGATGCAACTTCAGGTAGAGGCAAAAATTCAGTGAGACTTGACAAATCGCCTCAGTGAAGGGACATCGCGGCTAATAGGTAACGGTGAACTGACTCAAGTTTCTGCATCTTTCTGTTGGCACAAAACAGCGTAGGATGGTGTAGTTTATTCAGTTGGACTACAAAATTACAATTATCTGCAGAGTATCTGAAAGACCCATGGACGAGAGCTGTGTTTCGCGCTTCGATTCTGAACTCACAGCTGTGCGTATCGGTATATTCAAGAAAAGAATTAAGAGGACCAGAAGTATAAAAGGAAGAAGAAGAAGAAATATTGAGGAAGAGAAAGAGATGCCGAAAGAGAGAGAAGAAAAAACGAAGAAATAAAAGGAAAGTGTGACAAATAAAAAATATAAGGAGGTTGAGAAGACGAAGAAGAAGTGGGAGATGGAAGAGGAAGAAGATA